CTAAATACAGGTTCTGAATCCACTGCTCATTCTCCAGTATTTGCAAATCAATGACCAATTTTCCCAAAAAAAAGAAAAAAAGAAAAGACAATAACACTGAAGAAACAAAATTTTCTGCCTCTTCATTTGAACCTTTGTTGAATAACAAGTAGTGAATATTTTAAGGAAGAATTTCACAATACATTTCTTAAGAGCTAGGTACACCACTGATTTAATAAAAATAGACCAAATCATTAAAGACATCAAGAACTGAGCAACAAAAACAACAAATGTTTAGCATTAAGATAGCCCTTCTCACCATCAGAGAGGATTACAGCAATTAATTAACAAATTTTAATCCTAATTATTGATTTGATGGGAGTCATCCATTGTGGTTGGTGTCTCTGCACAATGTGCTTCTTTTTAAATCCTATGTATACCTTGGACAATGAAAGAGGTGAAACTTCAACCTAGAAGTTCACGGTCTTCACCGGAGATCTGGTGTGTGAGAATGTTCTCTTATATGGAAGCAAAGGTTTCTATTTGCAGTATGAAACTCCACATTCATAGCCAGCAGCATTATATGAAAATCAGCAAGTTAACAAACCCAAAAGCTCCTTCCTATGTTCTCCTTGGGAGGTCATTAGCACAGGGCCAAAGAAAATGGGAAATCATCAAGCATTGAAAGAACAATTTCAAGTAGCTGCTTGACAGATGAGCCAATTTTAGCATCAATGAGAGCACACTCCTCCCACCAACCCAAAACAGATGCAAAAACACTAATCCCAAGAGGCACAAATGTCTCAGTTACTGTGACAAATGAACTCTCTAGTGGGAAAGTGGTTCCTTTAAAGCCGAGGAAGCCCAACAGAAGGCCTCTTAATTATACTTTTTATTCTTTGGTTATGAGGCAAAAATAAGGATCTGTGACAAGTTTATGGAAGGGATAAAATGAGGAAAGGTGGGTTTTAGTTCTCCTGCTAGAGTGTATGATGCATGGAGTTGTATTTGCAGTTACTAGGTTACAGTACAGAGTGGAATGTCTGATTTTCCCATGCTTCTGGGCTTTGCTACTTACCACATGAGGCCAGGAAGAAATGTTTCCCCTTCTTATTGCCAGAGGTATTGGAGAGGAAGAGCGGTAATTGCCTTCCTCAGAAACTTTGGGTGTTGGCTACAGCCAAATCTGCAGATTTTTGACTGGTGTGTGTCTGGGACTTAAAAAAGCCCTGTAGGTTCCTAGTTAGAGGATCTTGCTTTTCTATTCAGGATCAGGTAGATCCAAACATAAAAGAATTTTGCCCCATGGTCAGAATGGCACAGACTGTGCAGGGCTTTGTCTTCCACTGCAACTGGGGAACGGTCCTCATCCTTGCATCTCTGAAGGATATTTTGACAAACTACTTCCTGTCCTTGCAGTGGCAGGACCTTGACAGTGCCCTCATTCCCTTGGTTTACCTGTGGGAAACTATGGTGATCGTGATATTTTCAAGCACTGTTCCTAGTAGTTGTGAATGAAGGTTACTTATGCAGTTTCAAGAACAGATTAGACAAGCGCTTCAATGGGAGGCTTAAATAGGGATGATCCTGCCTTGAGCTTCCTGCCTCCTAAGGTCTCTTCCAGATCCACTTTTCTATGATTCTTACAGGGTAGCTTATAAACATGGTGTGGCTTATTGAACACTCTGGGCCAAATATGGAGGTGAGATTAAGTAATTCTAAGAAAGTCTAAGTTTGTCCCAGCCTTCCAATAATTTAAGTTACAGCACCTCCCTGATGACATATGTCCAGACAGATTCTACAAAGCTCACCTCTGAATTTGGCCAGTGGTCCTCCTTCCACCATACTTATACTCAGGGAGCTCAGTACTCTCTGGTACATTTGTAGAATTCCACTTGTCCTAATAACTCTGTTTATATCACGGAAAGCATGAACATTTTTAGTGGCAATAGATTTGATTATAAACAAGTAAAAAAAAGTCTTAAAAAAATGAATTGTTTCTTAATATCAGTTGTGGGTCTGGAAATGGTTTTAAAAACAATATTTCTTGTTTCCTTGGAGTCAAGTCTAAAGGGCTGACTGTAAAGTGGACTAAAATATTTCCTCCAGGGAGGAAAGCTGTCCAAAATATCACCCCAGTGGGTGGCAGATCCGCTGCACACAGAAGCCATTTGTAGACACAGTAGATTTTAATAACAAAAGCACTTCAGAAGCTTTAGATAGGCAATTAAAAACTGTCAAACTTATGACTCCAGTTGTGTGTCACAGATGGTGCACTAAAACTGCAGATGAATGCTACTATTTAATGACAGAGGCACTAATTTTAAAATCACTTAAAGGGACACTATCAACCCCCTCAACAGACCTCAAATGATTTTGAGGGACTTGATTCCCTATCAAGCAGCTGATTTTGTGTATGGCTTAAACTGCTATTATTTAATTCACTCTTACCTAGACTGTAAACTGTCCAGTGGTAGATTTTCAGTTCTTAAGGCCCCTCATAAAAGTTTGTCTTGAGACAAGTTAACAAAGATTAGCCATGCCCACTGTAATAACAGAAGCCTCTGCAACAGGGATAAATCACAGTCTAAGTCCCTGATTCTACTTCATGTGCAGCAAAGCTCAGTCAAAAAATCAGAAAATATAACATAGCTGTCTGGCAGATTACAAACTAATGCTGCCTTTCCCATCTCTGTAGTGAACAAATTCAATATGAAGCAACCCCCTTGGATTATTTTTTATCTAAAATATTCAATTTTTCCCTTCTTTGGGTAGTTAAGGCACAAATGCTATCCAGAAGCTGACAAAACTATGCTGCATAATCAAATTGGCCATTTTGATGTCAAACAAAAGAAACAACTTTGCAACATAGGTGTATCAAGAAACTAAATATTATATTCCACATGCAAAGCTAATTTCTAGCAGCAGTGACATAAAAGCAAATATTCCCATTGATTCAGTTCATCAGCATTTAACCTCTCACAAAAACTGAAAAATAACCATAGGCCAGGGTTGCTATCCAGATTGCGACCAAACTGTGTCTGAGATGACATTTGTACCCTCTGTGCACAACTGATGATTAAACATGGCTGCTGCACAAGTCCATTTACCTTGAATTGACAGCAAACTGCAAGCAGCCAAAAGCAAGTTTAAGGGCAGTACTTGGTGATACGGTCTGTGCAGAACTCTCGTTGGCATTAATAGAACCTTCACATGAAATGCATGTAGAAACTATAATACAACTTTCCAGTATTAATAAAAGACATCAGAAATTTGACCCTACTGCCAAGTAGGCAGTTAGTTAGGTACATGACTGTTTATTAACAGTAATTAACAAATAGTTCAGATGCAAAGTCATCATTTTTTTTTAATTTGGGATCTTATTACCCATTGTTTTTGAACCTCCCACATCTGCACAAATTCTGAGTATGGTAAGTCCAAGTCAAAAATCTCCATTCTTTCATGTGACATTTTACATTCACTCAGAACTGATATAAATGACTCCTCATGGTACAAAGCAAAGAGGAAGTGTGCTTTATATATGATTCTTTCTCAGGCAACCTTTCATTGAAATCAGTGGGATCTGAATAGACAGCCCAGCTTACTCAGCTGGCTAGCAAAAATGTAAATACAAGACTTACCCCAAAACACACTAAAGCAACACAGCTCCATAAAAAGATACAGGAACCTGCACTTAAATACCCAACTGTGTGACCTGAACATAAAAGAGTGCAATTTACCTCCACACCTACCTAAAAGATAAGTGAAACGATAGCCCCATTATCCTGAAAGCAGAAGTGAAGTCACATTACAGTGCACATGTGAATCAAGAGTATTACCTTGATGAAACAAACCAGCTTACTTAGGCAGGTCTAGATATTTCAATATAGCAAAACTTTGCTGAGAAACCCAGGTGCCAGGAATTACCGTGACTCTCTTTATTGCAGATACAATGAGCTTGTGTGTGGAAAAGTGAGGATTGGCTGCTGATTGTTCACAGGACAAGGACTCTAGAAAAATGTCACATTTAGTAGGGCTTCACAGGTTTTCTTGTAGGCTAGAGAAAACATTGCACTGATCTCTGCATATAGAGAAATTCCAGGAGATGAAGAATGTACACTGCTTATCAGTTTCAGCTTGGGCTCAAATTCTGATTTAGGTCAGCTTACACACAACTTGGCACAATCAGTCAGGATTGTCAGTGTCCATTTAGTTAAAGCACAGCATCAAAATATCAAGGAGAACTGCAGATCAATTTGGGGGTAAATTAGTAGACAGAGCTGAGAAAGTACAGGGAGAGAGTTAAGGATGGAGTAGCAGCGGGTACTATGGATCAAAAAAAGATGAACAAAGATTGAACAACTCTTGGTGCCTGCATGCCCTCCATCTAGCTCTAGTTTCTCAATCCATCCCTCACTCCCATGAGAGCTACATTCACTTGCACAGTTTAAAAGCCAAAAAAATAAACACGAAGAAAAGAATGAACCAGGAAGTGTTTAGAGGTTGCGGTGGAAGGAAAACAGAGAAGAAATACCAGCGCTACCATAATGACAAGACACAGAGGAGGCAAAACTGGTAAGAAGAAATGGCCAAGAGCAGCAAAGTCTAATCCACTATTTTATGGTGGCTTGGAGTAATTCCATATTTAAACATTCTTTTCCTCTTACTATGACAGACTGTTTAAGAAAGTAGAGATATGCCAAATTTGAATTCTTCAGAGTCACTTGAGAGTATCTTCAAGACCAAACCTTTGGGCCCCAAGGATTTCAGAATTCTCCCACAGCATACCTTTTGGAGTTTAAAGAGGGAGGAACTGAAATGGCCAACTTACCTAGCTTAAAAACAGGTTAAGAGGGAAGGATCTAAGGCCCTGGGGATTTGTGCTGCTAGTGTGGATAAGGGGAGAAAAATTGTCTCAATGAATTTCTGAGTTATCCATCACCTTTAAGCTGAGCAAATTTAAAATGTGGTTCTGTGTCAGTAAAATGTACTAATCTTGTGTTTTTTCTTTTCAATCCCAGGAGGTGAATTAGTTATCCCTCTACTTGTAGAAGACCCTTTAGATATTCCTCCTATTGCTACTCGTGCACCTTTCATTACACTCCCCCCTACCTTTCGCCCCCTCCTCACCATTATTGAGACCACCAAAGATTCCCTGTCCATGACCTCTGAGGCGGGGTTACCTTGCTTGTCGGACCAAGGCAGCGATGGTTGTGATGATGATGGCTTGGTGATATCTGGGTATGGCTCAGGGGAAACCTTTGACTCTAACCTGCCCCCTACTGATGATGAAGATTTTTACACCACCTTCTCCTTGGTAACAGATAAGAGTCTTTCCACTTCAGTCTTCGAAGGTGGCTACAAAGCACACGCACCTAAGTGGGAATCCAAGGACTTTAGACCTAACAAAGTCTCCGAAACTGGTAGGACTACTACCACGTCTTTGTCCCCTGAGCTGATCCGCTCCACAGCTTCGTCCTCGACTGGGATGGTGCCCAAATTGCCAGCCGGCAAAATGAATAACCGTGAGCTCAAACCCCAGCCTGACATAGTCTTGCTTCCGTTGCCCACTGCCTATGAGCTAGACAGCACAAAGCTGAAGAGCCCGCTAATAACTTCCCCCATGTTCCGTAATGTGCCCACAGCAAACCCCACGGAGCCAGGAATCAGACGGGTTCCGGGGGCCTCAGAGGTGGTCCGCGAGTCGAGCAGCACAACAGGGATGGTCGTCGGCATAGTGGCTGCTGCTGCCCTCTGCATCCTGATCCTCCTGTACGCCATGTACAAGTACAGGAACAGGGACGAGGGGTCCTATCAGGTGGATGAGACGCGGAACTACATCAGCAACTCTGCCCAGAGCAACGGCACGCTCGTGAAGGAGAAGCAGCAGAGCTCAAAGAGCGGCCACAAGAAACAGAAAAACAAGGACAAAGAGTATTATGTGTAAAAAATATACTTATTTATATATAAATATATAAATACTTAATGAGATTTAACTGAAATATCAGAATCGTTACAGCTAACAAGATTGGGAGCTATCATTTGTGGGAAAAAATATTGGGAAAAAAATATTCAGCTGTGACTGTTAACGTCTCAGTCATCACTTGGAGTCAGCAAACTCTGCCCTACTGTATTATAAAGCACACTTAGTGTTCTGGAGATGGCACATGCAGCTCTACCATGTTAGCGGACTTGGAAGTTGCCTAATCTCCTGCTCTGCTGAACTTTCTGCAAAAGGTAGAAGACTTCATGGCTTACTTGTTTCATATCTCCAAGTGAGTCTTTAACAATGTTCGTGATCTTTGACTGTATCGATAATTTTTCAGTTTACTTATTTAAAAAAAAAAGAAAGAAAAAGAAAAAAATATAAACATTATAAACAAAACAAAACCCCAAGCAAACTGATCTGGCCATGTCCAGTGTAATTTTTCAAGATTAGAGGGAGGTGGAATAAATGATTTTGGAGATCGTTAGTGTTTGGTTTGGTTTGGTTTGGTTTCCTGGGGGTCCTTTGTTCTTTCTTTCTTTCTTTCTCTCTTTCTTTTTTTTTGTTTTTTTTTTTTGGTGGGGGGGGGGAATGAACTGGGACATGAGTCAAGAAGAAATCTCAGAAAAAAACCCCTAATAAATAAAGAGAGACTATTGCCATATATGAACTCAAAAGATACCCATGGTGTTTACATATCTGGTTGTGTTGTCTCTA